TATTATTTTTAAAAAATATATTTAAAAACTGCCTGTATTTATATAGACTAAACTGTTGAAATATATTTTCTTTGTTTTTAAATTAGAAGGGAAAAAACATTTTTCCTTTGTATAGTTAATGAAACTTGCATAGTATTGTTTTTCAGAAGACACTCAAGGGTACTCTTTTATATATAAGGATATGTATTTTGGGCATTTTCAGTTCCTTTAATTTTATTGTAATAAATTTTAAACTAATTTTATTCATTTCTATTAAGTAAAAATTTCTTACTTACAGTTTAAGAAGTTTCTATTTAACATCACATTCAACATAGTATTTTATAACATTCAAATTCTTGTCATGCATTATAATTTTTATTAGAAATAAAGAGACAGAAATAATGTATGAAAAGAATTTGGATGTTATAAAATACAAGGGCTGTTTGGAAAGTTTGCGGCCTTGCCTATATGCAGCACTGCAATCAATTTAATTTTTGGTGGGAATAATTCAGCCATTTTTGCTAGAGATAAGATACCAATTTCCGCTTGATTTGTCATAAAGTTTTGCCACGACAGCTTAGCAGATAGTCAGTGTGCATATGCTTTGTCAAAAATGGAGAAGACGGAGACTCGTGCGATCATAAAATACCTGACGAAAAAAGGGTTGACCCCATCTCAAATCAAAGCTGACATGGGTGAAGTTTTGGGAGTGTCTGCTCCTTCGTACACCACTGTAAAAAAATGGACAGCCCTTTTTAAATCTGGCAGAGAGAGAGTGGAAGATGACCCTCTCAGCGGACGGCCGTCAACTGCTGTCACTGAAGAAAATATCAACAAAGTTCATGATTTGGTATTAGCAGATTGGCGTTTGAAAACGCGTGAGATAGCTGAGACAACAGGCATCTCTGTCGACTGAGTGCACCACATCCTAACTGAAAATTTGGGTATGACGAAGGTCTCAGCAAGATGGGTGCTGCGTCTGCTGACCGCTGAGCAAAAATGTGTTCGCACTTTGATGTCAAAGGAGTGTTTGGACTTGTACCAGAAAAACCCACAGGATTTCTTTTGTTGGTTTGTGACTACTGATGAAACGTGGATCCATTACTACACTCCTGAAACAAAAGAACAGTCAAAACAATGGAAACACTACAGTTCACCACCACCAAAGAAGGCAAAGACAGTTTCATCAGTGAGGAAAGTGATGGCCTTGGATTTTTGGGATTCTAAAGGCATCATCTTTATTGACTACCTAGAAAGAGGAAAGACCATTAATGCTGTCTATTACTGTGAACTTTTGGAAAAACTGAAAAAAAAAATCGAAGAAAAGAGGCCACACTTGAAGAAGAAAAAGGTTCTGTTCCACCACGATAATGCACATGCAGATTCCGCTAGAATCACTGAACAAAAGATAAACGAACTTTGCTTCCAATTAGTTCCGCATCCACTGTACTCACCTGATTTGGCCCCCAGTGACTTCCACCTTCTTCCAAACAAGTAATGAGACAACTAGCATTACATCCAAACTAAGAACTTTATTTCAATTTTGCAGTTACATGGATTCAAAATAATCCCCTTGCACTGCCACACAACATTTACATCAATTATATAAGTTATTGAAAGAACACTGGAAGTCCTGTTGTGTACCTCCTTCAGTCTGTTGATCACAGTACATTTGATGTCCTCAATGTCACTGAAACATTCCCCTTTTAAAGCACGTTTAATTTTCAGAAATAGAAAAAAGTCTGCAGGTGCCAAATCAGGCAATTGGGTGGGTGTTCGAACACACAGATCTGTTTTGATGCTAAGAACTGCTTTTCTGTCAATGAATGTGGCACAAACCGGGAACAAATCTTTCTCTAAAATGGACTTAGCCTTTTCCTTACTGACACCAAGTTTCACTGTAAGCATTCTGGTGGTAATTTGTCTATCACTGTCAACAATTTCCTTGACTTTTTCCACATTTTCATCTGTTCGAGCAGACATGGGACATCCAACACGTTATTCATCTTCTAAGGATTCTCTTCCATTCTTAAATGCTGAAAACCAGTGGAACACATGTGCACGACTAATACAATCATCCCTGTAAACAAGTAGCATGTCTATGTAAACTTCTGATGCTGTTTTTCCTAATTTACAGTAAAATTTTATCACATCTCTTTGATACGTGATGTTATATTTGACCGTCGCTACTTGCACAATGTTACTTTCAAGGCTGCTGTCCATGCACTGGCTGAGTCATCAATACGATCGAAGTGTCTGCGTGTTCAGCACAATCTAGCAGGTGAAATAGTAACCACATTTGGCACATTTCTTGAAAGTATTCTTGGAAAAAATAATCAGTCTCATTACTTATTTGGTGCACTGTGTATGTTTAAATTTAAAATTAATGTGAAAACTAAGATGAATTAATTTTAAGTTTTCAAATGATATCTGTTAAACACTTGACTCCAATGTTGGTAAACATTGAAAAAATATTGACCTCTATTCAGCACGAATAATGATATAGGCATATTCATGAATATTGGCTAATATTTACTGTAGTAATTTATTTAATATCAATAAAATATGATGATAAAATACTCCATTGAATTAAAACAAGTTTTTGAAACCAGTTTGGCATCTGATATTTAGAAACAAGTTTTGTTAGAACTTGTTAACCATTTTTGAGAATTTGATTTTTGCCACCACTAAGTTAATTTCAATAACATGAGAAAGAACCACCATAGATCCTAAAAGTGGGTATACAAAATCTTGATTTAACACAATAGCAAAAATTTAGTCTGAAGTATAAGAAGCATATGTGCAACTCTCAAAGACAGGCTAAAAGAATATAAAATAGATGTAAGAAAGGCAGGGGAATTATATAGCAACAGAAAGGTTGAAATGGTAAAATGGACAAACACAAATTTCATGGTATATTTAAAAAGAGAATCATCTATTCAGATTGCAGAAGAATTGATCATTACCATATGCTCTGAACCAGTTTTAAATAAAATGAGGATTTGACTTAACATCTTGGATTGGAAGGGATAAAATTAAACTGATAAAACATTTTTATGTTCATTGTAATTATTTGCCTTATAATTAACTATTTATAAATAATAAAGGTATAAATCAATTTTTCTATGTCACTGGGATGGTGTATTTAAATGCTTGCTCAAATTATAACAAAACAAAATTTGACATTATTCTATGTTTGAATCTGAAGGTAAGATGTTTGTCTAGAAAAACATTGTAATAACCCAAATATTTGTATTTATTGGTTTTAAAACAATTTTTTCCTTATATAAACTAAAATTTTTTTCTTTAAATTTTTACATTTATTTGAGCTTTCGTGGTGTTCATTTTCTCCAGAATTTGGAAAGTTGTACCATTAAATTATTTGGCCAAAATGATAAATTATGTTTTAATAAAACATAACAGAGACTAAAAATGTCTTCACTTTTTCATCATGTCCACTCACCAGGAACAACTATATTCCACTGCAGAGATGACCTTTCTTTAGAGGCTATGCATCTGCTAAAAAATGCAGAACAATCTAACAGCCAATTGCAGAGACAGAGTTTACGTTAAATGACGTTTATCAACAGAACGGCCTATAGACATTGGCTGGCTGAACCACGGTTTAAAATGCGTTGCAAAGATGATGATCGTCTATTTCTCACTGTTCTCTAAACGAACTTCGGCAAAACATTGGCTCTTACTTACTTCACTATTACTCCCCTGTTTTAGGATTAGTTTGGCCAATCGGGTTATTTGTTTGTGACATCAGAAATGGTCGCCAGCTATATTTCGAAAGCTTTCAGAAATAAAATCTTAAGGCCGTCAAAACCATTGTTCAGCAATTAATGACAATCCTTTTCCATTTCAATATTTAATTTTGTTGCCAATACGGTTTAAAATACGAACAAATCCATATTTAGAAAATTTATACATTCGAAATTCATCTTATTACTGTTGCCCTTCGTAACTATCGAAATGAATAATTTAAAATATTTTATTATTAATATTACATTTTTTTATATCTATAAAAAGATATCTGTAATTATTAAAATTGTCTCGGTTGTTTAACAGAACGATGATTCCGAAATGTATTAACGTTTTATAACCGATACAATACTCGAATTGAAAATAAATGCATCTGATTTAAATTAATCAAAGTTTTAAGTCTTCACCCATTTGAATATCGAAATTGGAACATTTAAAACAAATTTAAAGTATTTAATTTTGTTGTTTCTGCTCCAAGCAATTAATTAATGAATAATTTTGTCGATTTGTACCGTTTACAACATTTATCAAAGGAACGATATCTGTTTTTATCTAAACTTTTCCGCAAACAAAGCTACCACTCAAATTGAAAAGACCTCTAAACTTGCTATCGATGGAGTCTAGAAAGTAGGTCAAATAACTTGTTTCTAATCGCTGTCTACATTGTGGCAAGCGAGAAACACCGTCTCTGCAATGAAATTTTTCTGAACAGTGGTCTACCCGATCTGTAAACCGCCGTCAGCCTCTAAACATCTCTGTAATCAGCCCTAAAAGTTCACTGATGAAGACTTTTTTAGTCTATTACATTTTATTAAATTGTAAATTTGTCAGCCCTTTTTTTTTAAAAATGATAAATTATTTATTTGCTCTGGTTGTTGAGAATCCTCAATATTTGAGTAAATTAATAAATGGTATTAATGAACTTGTAGTCATGCTAATTAATTTGGCATGTCTCATCTTATTAAATGAACTTTGATATATTTTTCATACAGAAATTGGATTACAGATAGGCATCACAAAAGGTTCAAACTATAAGAATGCCATCCTTAATTAATTAATTGTTATAAGTAACTGTCATTGAGATTTGCCAGACTTCAAACAATAATCTAAAAGATTATCAACCCTTTTAATTTTTTTTTTTTATATTAGTTTTGTGATTTCTGTTGTTTTTGTATTTAAAAGTAGATAGTGTTTAATGTGTAGTCATCAATAAACTTCAAAATTTGTAACATTATTCTTGTTTTTATGTACAGAAAATCCGAGAAGTGGCTGTAGCACCTACTGTTATATCAGAGAAGGCAGAACCTAGATTGGAAAAAGTGGAAGTGGTCAAAACTGTGATTGAATTGGCAACCACTACACCTGTACAAAATATGATAAGTACAGGACAAGTACAGACTTCGGTTAATGGCATTGTAGTACAGAATGGTCTTGCAACTAATCAGGTAAATATATTTTTTATTAAAGAACAATTAACCATTTCTAAGAATTTGTAGCTTTTAAAAGCTTGTAGTAATTACAAAGTTTTCACAATTTTTATAAAGATTTATATACTAACAATCCAGTGTTTTTTAAATGGACTCTAGGGACCTTGATGTTCCCTGAGACAAAAAGGCAATGGCTGAAAAATTTATCAGCAATCTTAAACTTGTACTTATTGCAGCATTTAACATTTAGCTATCTTTGTCACTAATGGTAAACAGATAATCCATCACTACTTCATTCCATAAATTTAACAAATAATTGGTATTTCATTCTATTCTTGGTTTTATTATTAACTTATTATTATTATTATTATTATTATTATTATTATTACTGATGAAATAGTCACTAGTTTACACTTTAGGAAACCTCCCGAGGGAAAAATATACAAATTTAGTGAATGTGTATACAGTAATGCATTTTCTTTTTTTATTCACGATAGAGAAATAACAGGAGTTAGATACAGTATACACACTAACTTACAACTTTATGTAAAGTCAAATATAGTATTAAAATGACAACTACAATTGTAATAAAATGATAAAAGTTAAACTATTCAATGGAGTTGGAAATTAATTTAAAATATATAAAATATGAAACACTCAGCCTATTTTGACTTTAGAGGTGATTAAAACAACAATTAAATCAAGAAAAGATCTACTTAATCATACAATTTTAACTTACCTATCAAATGTATTTCACCAAAGTGACAATTTTTTGGCCTCCTCACCAATAATACAATTGAGTCCATGTACAGCATATTTATAGTTTACAAATTGTTTCAGCATGCATCAACATTAATGCCATTATTTAAATTAATATTATTTATATTATCTTAATTTATTATTGAAAAATGTCCTTTAATTTTTCTTCTAATACTATTCTTCTCTTTAAATAAACTTGNTTTAAAAAGCTTCTTAAGATATTTTGATCTTGAACCTATTAAACAAAAAATTTGAGACTGAGGTGTGGGGATGAACCTAAGAAGATATCCATTTTGTCTCATTTAGTTTTTAAAAAGAAGTGTTTTAAATGAAAATATTTTTGTATCTTTTAAATGGAACTTTTTTATCATTGATTTACAAACAATTGTGAGAATCTGGAGACATGAGACAATGTTTGTTAAATTAATACATGGGAGAAAATAGAGAATGCAAATTTACATTCCTATTATTCCTAGTTCAATGTAAACTCTCTCTATTGGCCTAGTAGCAGATAAGTAATTAGATATTTGATATAGTTCATCTCTTTAAATGTGTTATTGGATGAATATGCTGATTGTGCTTGTATATAGACTTAGTGTTGTAGTTCTAGTGTAACCATTGCTGTATTTAGCTTATTAAACTGTTATTATTTGTTAATTTGCCTAAAACTAGAGTCTAGAATTATTTGGAGATCAGACTACCCTATAAACATATTCACAACTCCACCACTCGTTTAGTCCTCTAATTAGATATTAGACGTCAACCTTCAGATGTCTAGATAAAATTGTGAGCTAAGATGCATTATTTCTTAACTGGTATCAGAAAAAGAATTAGTCTTAAGATCTTCTGATCTTAGGACAACCTGCTAGTAAAAGCCATCCAGTGAAAACATGAGCAGGCCTACCATCCCAACATTGGAAAAGCGAGTTAGAGATAAACTCGACCCTCCCCAGCATCTCTCACAGCGATGTCAGAAGTTGAATTTTCGATAGGTAGTGTCTGTCGAATCCAGGTTGTTGTCTGCCACAGGCAGGTTTTATTCTATTTTGATTTAGTGATAGCTAGAGATAGCAAATAAGATAAATTAAGTAACCTATAAGTTAAATTTAAGCAGAATTAGAATATAATAGAAGGCAAACCCCCAACTTTAGGTGGGAAAATACAAGGAAAGGCCAAACCCATAAAATATAAAATTAAAGAAAGGAGAAATTAGGAGTATGTTGGAGATGAGACAATAAATTCAGAAAGGGTAGATGAAAGTCCAACAATAATTCAAAATGGAAGGGAAATGCAAACAAACAATCCTAAGGATATACATACTGATGATAAAAGGAAAAATGATGATGATAATCAATGAAAATTGTAGGCAAGAGAGGCCCAGTCTTTAAATTATTAATTGAGGCCCTGATTATCATTTTTACAATGATGTTAGCAATGGTGGGAATTCTATTTTTCCTTACTTATATATGGCAAAGGCAGTCAAAACTGTTATGTACTGGTATAATGTCATCGCCAAGATTACGTCACAGTCCCGTATGGTTGTATGCGAACACATTTGTCAATAGAGTGAAAAGAGGAAATTAGTCATCACAATAACGTTTGTTTGCTTAGTTTTAAAAACAAAAATGAATTATTTTGGTAATTGGTGTTCCCAAAGAACTCCTAGGTTAAAGTTTTGGAATTTATTACTTGGGAAGGTATTTTCATTGACATTGCCATAACAAGGACTTTTCTTTCCTTCTACAATAACCTTAATGTTGACCATCATTCTATAATCGACAGTCAATGGTGAAATAAATAGGAAATGAAATTTTAAAGGGGATCACAAATTAATTTATGGGTGTTAGGATAAGGATGAACTTGTCATAAAACCTCTGATACTAGGCAGATGCTTTTTGGAATCCTTGGCAAAACAAACCCTTTTACAAAGGAACAGATTCAAATGAGTTTTCCAGGAACCCTGGTTTAGAACTGAAAGTTTGAGAAGGAATTGCAATTTATCTTTCCTATTTTTATGGCCACTTTTATATTTACCCAATGTAGGGAAATTTATTTGTTAATTAATTTTGCTCGAGGGAGATTTTGTCTGACCTAGTAGATGCAAGAATATAAGGTGACCAATCGTCCTCCTTTTGTAAGTTCTGTCCTCCCTCGAAAAGTGTTCTTTACATGTCCTCCTTTTTGATATTTGAAGACTAATCTGTAAATCTCTGTATTCAATCAATGCCGAACCGATCTGTTGCATGTGATGTGATATGATGTGTTTGTATTTAACATGACAATTCATCAAGGAGACCTTGAGAGAGAGATAGAGTGCACACACGCAAATGGCTTTGTTTACTTCTTATCAAAACATGATATGGCATCTATGCATGCAGTAGAGATTATTATAGTGTATTATTGTTGCAATGAATAAAATGTTTTTTATTTACAATGTTTTTTCCTTCAATTTATTAGTGTCCTCCTTTTCATTGTAAAAAGTTGGTCACCTTAAAGAATATCCACGTTAAGAGAATAAGGAACCACTCACTCCAGTTTCGTAATATTGGTAGATTTGTTGCTTGGAAAGAGAGATTTTCCCACTGAAAGATTTGTCTTTCAACAATGAGAGCAACAAACCACAAACCAAGGTACTCACCTCCATCCAGGTCAGAATCAGCCATTTCATATGGGGTTTATTATGTTCATTCCTGTTTGAAAGGAAAATCTTTAAATTTAAAACCCCACACTGACTTATGAGAGAAAAAGGGGAACAATTATGTTATTTTGTAAAGTTCTTGATATCAACTCCACTCCTGATACCAATTTGTGAGAATTTGTGGTGAGAAATCTACTCTTCTCACCTTTGCACAGTCAGGACGGTTAAGCCTGTTTACATTATCACTGGATAGCTATTGGAATTTTTTTTAACCAGAGTCAGATTCCCGGCTCTGGTTACTTTCTTCGGTTGAGTGTGGAGGATCACAGGATCATTGATAAAGCATCAAGTTATTCGATAAAACTTACTTTGAGACCAGGTAAACTAAACAACAAGTTTACTATTCAAATAACTGATTACAAAGAACAAACACACAAACATATTGTTAGGTATATAACTAGACATATTATCAGGATTTTGAGGATAACCTCGAGCAACAATTTCTAACATTTAACTACTTATCACTAGTAGACCGAGAGAGAGAGTTTACAATCAGTTAAACATAATACCTCAGGTAGACAGAGTGAAGTCTTCTCTAATGTCTTGGCTAGCTGGCGGGATGATTCAAGAGGTGTGTCAATGACAGAACTCTTCCAACATTTGCCCTGAGACTTGGGTGTGAACCTGTTATATCCCTAATATTTTCTCATCAAGTGTGAAATTTTGTCAGGTGATTCTCTGTCATAGCTGTGCCCCAGTGGGCCGCAATAAGATTTGGACTTTGATGACCGGGGCAAAGGTTTATTTCCTTTTTGTTATTTGATTCTCTTCAAACATGTAAAGATTTTTAATGATATTGTTTATCAAACTGATATTGTTTATCAAAAAATCTTTCTTGGGTCAGAGAGGGGGAGCTCATTTTCTTGAAGACTACATCCAAAGAGTAGTCATCAAGAAAGGGTAGTCATCATTTTCTCTGAGTCAATTGTTGAAGTAGGATATAATAATTAATATGAAAAATAGATTATGGTTGGCGTTGTATGTTTACTGATCTCATGGGATATGGATGCAAAATGAAAGAGTTGTTGCGACGAAAAGTTTATTTTGAGGTCATCCAGAGTTGTAACCTCAGAAAGGGAAAGGGGGATGTTTCCTGAGTCTCACACAATTAGTCTATAGCAGTGTTTTTCAACCTTCTTGAATACGCAACCCCTTTACAAGTTAAAAAATTCTGGCGACCCCGCCAGGGCCATATTAAAACTATATCAGTGATTTTAAAAACTACTTATATAATTTTCTTTCTTTAAATATCGATCGAAAAACCAATTGTACTGTAAAATAAACAGGCACAGCCTTCTCACTGAAATTCTAGTTTTTTTTATTGTAGTGTAGGACCTACAAACACTTGTCTTTTTCTTTCACCTGCGATGCCCCAGGGGGGTCACAACCCACAGGTTGAAAAACACTGGTCTATAGGAAAAAGTGTGTGACGTCATTGTGTTATTTTTAGAACTCAAAGTGAATAAAATAGTGACTGAATTTTAAGGATTTTATCATAATTTTTTATTAATTTGATGAGAGCCATACTTTCCTTTAAAGGTTTTATTAATTAAAAGATCTT